AGTAAATAAAAAAAGAACAGGAAAGGAAATATAAATAATTTTTTTCTACTCCCGTCTGTAAAAAAAAACACTAATTATACACCGATCTAGCATGCGGGAAGCGTCACTTTACCACGTCAGTTTCGTTTCCCACGAATCCGAGCCACTTCGGACATGTCTGGGATATTTTTCATAAAAATATGTGTTATTTCTATATGCACTATGCCATTTTCATATCATATTCATTCTTAATACTGGCGCTGCTACCACTCTGTAACATTTCAGTCCAGACCTCGTCTTAGCTGCCTTCATCATTTACCAGTTTCCTCCATATTGCTTTGCATTAATTTCAATGTTCTCGGATATGGGACTCCTTTGTTCTCGATGAGGAATGTTTGGGGCCAAGGGTCGTTCTATAGAGTTGAACCAATTTTGTGGGGCCCCGAATTTTTCCATACCTACTCAAAAGTTCAGAGTTTAAATCTTGGTCTAGACCTTATATAAACTTCTAACAGTTTTGGTTAGTTATAGAGCAATACAACGGCATTTTTCACACCACATTTGTACCCTTTTTTGATTTTCTGATACCAAATTTGCAAAACTGCAACCTTGGATCGAATGCTCATTCTTCGGACTTTTGCTAAGTTAACCACCTAATTATTTTTAGGCTAGATACAGATAAAGCTTTATTTCCATAAGACTTCTGTTACAAGTGTTGGTAATGGTCAGTATAATACAAATATTAATAATATAAAATTACGTTTGTTTTTAAGAGGGCATTTGAATTTTGTTTGTCTGGCTATAGGCAATTTTTTGTAAAGTTTTACGGTCAAAATAAAAGGACTGTTTGATATAAGAGAAGGTGTTTAGGTATTTGTATGATAAGATCCGGTCGTAAATTGTACTGAATATCTGAGTTTCTTGAGAGCATATAAAGATTAGAGTTGGAAGTGTAAATGAAGAGTGTTGAGGAAATAGGTCACGACATGAAAAATTCCACGGCTTAAACAGCCTAGTCATGACGGTTGTCTTGGTTGCAATGCTAACTTGCTGAGACGATGCTACAGAAATGGTAGAAACTGCATCATCAGCAAAAAGGGAAAAGTAAGTATTTATAAACACTATAAATACTATAAAGACTTCTAAATCGAACCTTTTTAATGAATAATGGTGGGACCTCTGCCTGAGGCTATGCAATAATTTCCTGTCCATTCTGCGTTATTTGTGTTGTTGTGGTACTTCCATCTGCATGTTGGTGTTACCTGAAAGGTACGAGGGTTGCCTTTTATATTTCGGGATTTTCTTAAACCAGCCCTGCCAACTGGCGACTAAGGTTTTTTATAGGGAAGTTTGACGTTTTAAGGTCAGGTTTACGCAGTTAGGTTTTGGCGAAAGAGTGTTGTTTGCGTTTTTTATGATAAATAAAAAATATGTGACGTTTAAAGATGGAACTTAATCGGGAGCATTTTCGTGCAATATTTTTTTACAATTTTAGACGTGGACTAAGTCAATAACAATGCATCGATGAACTTAATTCGACATTTGGAGTTAAAACACAATCTACGTCTACTGTTTACCGCTGGTTTTCGGACTTCAGTCGTGGTCGTAGTTTTCTTAAGGATGAATTTCGTGAAAGTCTTCCAAAATCGGTGAATGTCCAGGAAAACATCGATGCAGTGTGGGACCAGCATACATTCAATTTTGCATTTTACATTTGGCCGCTAAAAAAATTTGTTCGCGTTCAATTCCACACAACTTGACATCAGCTCAAAAAAATACGATTTATGCATATGAACCTGAAAGTAAGCAGTATTCCAACTGTGTCAATGAGTCAAAGCTCACAAAAGTAATTCGTGTGCGAAGCACCTCGAAACAAATGGTAGCCTGTTTTTTCAGGAAAACTGGCCTCGTAACTGTTTCTTTGGTGAAAGGTAAAACGGTCAATTCTGAATGGTATACAACCATTTGTTTGCCGAAAGTCTTCGAAGAAATTAGAAAAACCAACCGCGGAAGACGAATCATTCTCCACGACGACAATGCTAGCTCTCACCGATCAGTGCAGAGAACATTTAGTCCATATAGTCCTGTTTTAACACCTAATGACTTTTTATATTCCCATATATTAATATGGGAATAAAAATATGGGAATTACGTGGGCAACGATTTTTGACACGAGAATAAGCGACTGATGCGTTTAAAAATCATGTTTTGGAAGTGCCCGAATCGATGTGTGAAAAGTGCTTTGATGATTGGTTTTATCGAATGGCAAAGTGTATTGGTCATCAGGGTGATTATTTTGAGATTCAATAAAGTCATATTTGTTGGCTACTTATAGTTTTTTATTACAAATCCCGAAATATAAAAGGCAGCACTCGTATTATAAGAGTTAATTTGGGTTCATCTTGGAATCAATCGAGGTTCTATTTATAGCAACGCGGTTTCGCTGTGCACCGAAAACAATTAGGTTTTCTAATACAAACGCAAGCCCATCCGAAAGTAAGTCACGATAGATAAACGCCCATGCGCCAGGCGGCCCAATTCCCACTGATTCACATGCACACATTGCTGCACTTGTCGACCATGCAACGCGTGAATGCAATCGGGCGCATCCAAAGGCGACGTATCCGGTCGGTCAGTCGGCTACAGGCGTGCTGCCCTTTGTGACCCCTCAATAACCTTCCTTGTATTTAACGGCTTTTCGGTTACCATCCCTGTCTATATTGTTTTTATGTGGGTTAATATCGACATGAAATTTCATTAAATGTGCGCCATTTATATGCCTATATTTAGAGACCGTTTCATTTGGACCGAAGCGTTGCTTTGTTGAAACCTTCACGGTATAATATCACAATCAGTGTACACTCTGCAAAACTTTGAGGCGGAGCTTCTCCTAAGTCTTCGCAAGCGCAATTATTTCGTGAAGACGCTTGAAATTTAAATAAAAAAGTAGAAGAAAGTAAGTCTATACAACTTAAGAATTAACAGCCAAAAAACTCTTATTCAAACGAAGAAATTCATAAAATAAAATATAAACCATTTTTCATATAATGACCAACTTAATTTTTAATCTCATCGGAAGCGTTATTCCTCGTAAAAGCTGACTCTGCTTTGCGGAAGTTGTTGCAATCGTCTTAAGGAAATTTAATGCAGTGTCAAAGTCGCGGAATGAGATTGTTGGCTCTTCCTCTCGACAGGAGTACAAATATGGTAGAATATTTATGATGGTACACACACTTCGAATATATAGTGTCGCCTTATTAAACAGTTTTACCGTTCGCTGTTGGGTCTTGGGAAGGAATTCATAACGATATAGATTTATGCATTATTTCGAGATAAGTAGTTTTCAGTAGGGATGATAGCGACGAATGGAAAGTGAGTGATTCGATATGTTTTTGCAATGTAAGTTGCAATGTTTTATTGCAATGTAAGTTGGATTATTCGATTGACATGAATTTTATTTATCCGAAAGATAATCTTGTGGCATTACATTTTAAATATGATTTCTGGCATATGACCGCCACGGCTGGCGCGAATGTAGTCCAATCTGGAAGTCCAATTTTCGATGATTTTTTCCAACATTTGTGGCCGTATATCAGCAATAACACGGCGAATGTTGTCTTCCAAAGGGTCAAGCGTTTGTGGCTTATCCGCATAGCAGTGTTAAATCATAAGATCTTGGAGGCCAAACGTGTCTTTCAATAAATCGATTGTGGCACGAGCTGTGTGACATGTTGCGTCGTCTTGTTGAAACCACATCTCCTGGACATCATGGTTATTCAATTCAGGAATGAAAGAGTTAGTAATCATAGCTCTATACCGATCACCATTGACTGTAACGTTCTGGCCATCATCGTTTTTGAAGAAGTACGGACCAATGATTCCACCAGCCCATAAAGCGCACCAAACAGTCAGTTTTTCTGGATGTAACGGTGTTTCGATATACACTTGAGGATTAGCTTCGCTCCAAATGCAGCGGTTTTGTTTGTTGACGTAGCCATTCAACCAGAAGTGCGCTTCATCGCTAAACAAAATTCGCTTATGAAAATCGGGAACAACGGCAATCTCGTTTTGGGCCATATGTGAGCTCGGAAACTGGTTGGGTGGATAACGCTTTGCAGCTTTCTGCAAAAGATGTCAAAGAAACAAAGGTTGACTACCACGAAAACATAACAGCAGAGATTTTTGAAAAATGGTTTTCTGAAAAATTGCTTCCCAATATTCCACCCAACAGTGTTGAACAACGCCAGCTACCATTTTGCACAAGCGGAAAAAATACCGAATTCATCATCGACTAAAGAAGTAATTCAAAATTTTGTGCTTGAAAATTATATGTATTTTGAAGATTCCTACGCAAAAAAGCAGTTATCGGAAGTTCTTAAAACGGGAAAGTTTGATAAGACGTATAACATGGAAAAGTTTGGCTATGGGCATTCAAAGTAGTCTGCCTTTCACCATATCACTGCCATTTTAATCCGATAGAACTGATATAATAGTTACAGAAGTTGCCTGGTGCCAGAATTAAGTAATGTTTGAGACGATTACAGTGACGATAGTGATTATTTTGATGTAAAATAGCTTTTTTTTTATAAATATTGTAATATTGTTTTATGCCTACATTTACTTCTTCGTTTATATTTATAATAAGCGTTTCAAAGTAAGAATGGATTTTTCACTGCATAATAATAATCAAGGAATCTCACCGATGAAACTCTACAGAAATCCGTCAGCTTTCAGCATTTGTATGCACTAAGTACCGAAGTACGCTTTTGGAACGTCATGTGGAATTGCGAATCTCTTTATTGAGGGTTACAAAGAGAAACCCAAGCGGGGTAGGCCTACGGTTAGACCTTCATAAACATTTACCAAAATTAAATACCGGATTATGTCGTAAAAACCGTATATCGTCTGGAGAACTCTACTCGATCTAGTGACAGTCCGGTTACATGACAATCATCTTTTTAATGTGAGCTTGCCTCGGATTATGGAGTTTAATAATTAATGTCCGTTCTATATTGTTTCAGGTACCGAAGACAATGATGGACGACCGATAATACTTTGTTACGCCGAGTGCATATCGAGGGCTGCTCTAAACAAGTATGAAATCGCGAAACTGCTTCTTTACTATTCGTCAATACCAACGTAAGTAATTATTTTTAAGGGATGCATTTTTAATAAGTTCAGTATATCGGTCGTTATACTATACCGTTCTATTTTTTATTTATTTTGTTTTATGTTTGTTTCAAATGCGGTATTAGACGGACTGAGGATTCGGCTTTTATGCTACTTTCCTTTGCTATTTTTGCAGATTTGACGGATGATTAGATGACTGCGTTAAACCCTTCCTGTGACATGTAAATATTTGTCATTCTTTCAATCCATTATAATCCGCACAATGAATATATCAAATCTCTCTCGGCGCAACATTAATAATGTCACCGATTGCTTTCACTACTTGCAGCACAAATCGGTGTATTTATAATTTAGAGAAAAAGACGAAATTTACCCGCAACCCGCGTGCACTTAATTGCAAAGTCCCATTCTTCCTATTAACGACCGCAGCAACGCGCAACCAAATAGACAAACAAAAACTCTATCAACTTTCTTGTGTCAGGAGAATTTTTGTGCGGCATTCGGACAGAGTAATTAAACGAAACAATTACCACGTCTAGCGTTTTACAGACAAGCCTAAGTGAAGTTCATACGCTATTGTGTGCCTCAGGGTTGTGGCTTAGGGCCACCATTGTATAATTACTTCTTACCGTATGCTAATTATCCATGGTAGACTTGTTTTGTCACTTTTTGCATTTGCACGTTATGTGTACTTTTCGCTCGCAGGTAACCTAGGTTAATTAATGTTACGTTTTGGGATTTGTTTTAGTAACGTTTTCGCTAGATCAAATAGAGAAATTTCGTTGGGATCCGGTCTATTCGTTCCATTTCGATTAGAAACAACCCAACAACAAGTTTTGAATTAATAGCTGCACCTTTTCCCTTTAAAATCATCAAGTAATGAAAGGTCCGATACCAGGCAAATTTAAAATGTTTAGTGTATATTTCAGGTCATACTTTTTCATTGGCCCACTTTTTGCGTATAGAGCATAATAGGAATTAGAAGAATTAATCAAATGTGGTGACACTTTGCACAGTTCATAATTGAGCATTTTAGAAAAAGAACTCAAAACTTCGAAAATAAAATTTTTATAAGTAATTGTAACAACAAACAACCACAAAATGTTTAAATTAGCATACATATTTTAATGAATGCAAAAGAAAAGCGTGAAAAAATCATCATTTTAAAGTCAACAATAGTTGTTGTTCTTGTGATACGGACTTTTGCCGGATACCTTTCTTTTTTTATTCTTTTATATAAAATAAAAAAATTGCCCAAACAAATAATGTCATTTTTAATTATCAGTTTTTGGTGTTTGCTGGTAGTCATAATTTTTGTTTATTAGAGAGGTTTTTAAAATTTATTTCATACGAAGTCAATACTTATAGCTTAGTATTTTGCTCATTATAAATTAATAATATCCGTGTCTGGATAGTTCTCTTTGCGACGGTTGCCGTAGCAAATTTTCGAACTTTTAAAATTTAGACCATATATCTGAAATCAATGAGAGTATATCATTAAAAAAAAAAAACTAATGATGTCCCGTAATAGCATTTTCATTATTTGATGGTGATTAACAAAATGCTCGATAATAACTTAAAATTTTCCACAACGAAATGGACAAGGGGTAAACCGCAGACGAAAATTATAGGTATGAAAAAAATGTAGAGAAATTGTAAATAATTACATACCTAGACAGAGTAGATGAGCAACTATGAGCTTTGGTGAAATCTAAGTCTACATTGATCGAACTTTTATTCATATCTCTCTGAACATTTTGTAATTTTTTTTTCCCTAAAAAAGTTCAATTTTTATCAAACTTTTTTCGTTATCTATACCATCCTAATAAAAAAATATTTTTAATGAAACTTTCAATATTTCTTTCTGTAATGTAATTGGTCGATTGTTGTTTATTTGTTTGATTGAAAATGCACTTTTAATAGTTATATTTTAGGTTGTAATTTAGTTACGTTGTGATTTCTAAAAACAATTGTGCTCTAAATTTGACTTCGTTTTTCAATTTTAGTGCTTATTGCAATATTTCGTGTTTCATTTTTTTTTATTTGGAAACGGTGAATTCCATGAACAAAAGACAAAACTTTTCAAATAAACCTGGATATCAAATCACTGAATGGGTTGCTCTTTAAATTTCTTGAGGAAGAATGACGGAGATATTGTAAATTAACCTCAACTCATTCCACAAAAGTGACAAATTATACAAAAATTTCTTTTTATAATGGTCATACATAAAATTTAATTATTGTCCTTTTCTGTTTTTACGAAAAATGTGTTTCGATCTTATTGTTACCGCGACATTTCCCTCTTGATTCACTTTTAACCTAACGTTTACATAATAAACTACTATTTATTTTTTATAAATAATTTAGAGGAACAAAAAAAGGCCCCTCTAGCTTTTTATACAATTGTCGAACATTGTTAATAAAAAATATTTTTAACAGTGATAAAAATATTACATTTTTGGGAAACAATTTTCGAGCAATCACTTTTTGCCAATCTTCGTGTTAAACACAATGCCGCAGATTTTATGTTCCAAGAAGAGACTCCAATATACACAACTTCGCCCAAATAAGAAAGTTATTAGCCAAAGTTAATTGTATTATGTGTCTATGCCAAAAACGACCGCGGTATAAAATTGCTAATGGGAAAATTGCAATTAAAATTGTTTTTAACGGGTAAAGGCTTCCTTCCCGTTGTAAAAAAATCATTACGGGATTTGTTCGAGTGAATATTTGGGCTACATGTGCGACGTTGAGGTGACCAAGCTGTTTTTTTTTATTATATTGAAAGACGTTCGCGGTCAGTCGCGCTTCTAGAAACAAGAACAGCTGTCGACACCTTAATTTTAATCTATATATCGTAATCTTAGCGAAAAATAATTTCGTTTTAGGTGCGAAAGTCGTAGCAATGGTTTTACGATTCTACTTCTGGCGGAAAACGAAACCGACTACAAGGTTTTAGAAGTTTTGGAGAAATCTGTTTGCCTGATTTCTAGTAGCCTCAAAGTAGCGAGATTTTTAATTTGGACACCGGGTTTAAAGACTGACAAGGAAAGCAGGACGTTAGCTAGTCAAGCGGAGGTAAGTTAGATTTCATTAAATGATTATCCCATAATATATATATATATATATATATATATATATATATATATATATATATATATATATATATATATATATATATATATATATATATATATATATATATATATATATATATATATATATATATAACCCGTCAAATTTTCGAATTGTTACTCCCAAGCACGCGCTTTCTTCATTTTCCATCCAAATCATGCAATGATGATTTTGATGATTTTTTAACAACAGGTATTCGAAGAATAAAAGAATTAATATTATGGAGGACATAAGGGAATTTTTTTTATTTGTAAGACATGAAAATTTCTTGTCGATTATGTTAATTCTGAATTTCTAAAGTCTAGTTGTTGCAATATCGGTTCGAATTTTTGACGTGCCAATATCAAAATGTACTTGTAGATTAGCGCATAATAAAAACCTAGAAAGACTTAACAATAATAATAATAATCATGTAGTATCGTAAGAAACGTATAAAATTTCTCATCCCAGACAAGTAAACTTGACGATTCACGATAGTTATCTCGTTCGAGTGGGCATTTTTTCATTTTTTTTAAGTCAAAACGCTACAGTACAATAAAAAAAATGCTAATAACCATAAAAACGGAATATTTTTGGAAATTTTGTTGCTTATGCTGAATTTTTTAGTGTAGTGTAGTGATTTTAGACATTTTTTCATTGCCTTTGGATCCTGAATTTTTTATTATATTTCGATATCGAGGGCATAAACCTGTCCTATGGTTTTTTACTTGCATTTTTAAGCTGCATTTGGTGTTAGTTTTTTATTTCATCATTATTTTTGTTTATTTTGCACCTATCTGTGACTAACCTTTCACTTCAAGAAGCCTAGTCTACGCCAGTGCTGCCAATATTTTTTTATCATATTGAAATGTTATGAGATAATCACATAAATATTTTTTCATCCTGATCCGGTTCTTAGTAAACTTTATTTATTGATGTTTCAGTTTATATATTGTTGTCTTAGATGTAGTTTGAAAAATATAAATTTAAATAACAATCGCGTTCGCAGAGACAACAGATTATATATAACGACAGGGAGCCCCATTGTTTATAGAACTACCACTCCTCTATGAGATATGGACTAATTTGATAGTAACTTGCGCTATAAACTTAATAGATTAAAACTTACTGAGTCATGGACATAGTATTTTGGACCAGACAGTTGTTTGGTACCACGAGTACCACAAGGCACTGTTCTAGGACCATTACTATTTAATATATGTATAGAGAAATCCAGTCTCTATGAATCATATTAAAAGACAACACTTGTAGAAAATTGACTCAATCCTTAAGTGGGATTACAATTGTCAATACTTACAATACAATATGATGTAATTTACTTGTAACGTACTAACGGAACCACGGTATATGGTGTGGGCTGCAGTATATAATATCAATTCAGAACCTTTAAAATTGATTAAGAATTAAGTTTTATTTAATATTTAGATTATTGGCGCCAGACCAAGCTATATTTGCACAAAATTTATTCCAAAAGAAATGTCTGAGAGGTTGTAAAATCAAAAAAAAGAAATATACGTTGATGTAAAAAATGAAATTTGTTTACATATTATTGTTTTTGTACCCTGCATCTAGGAGCCTTAAACACTTGGTCATTTTAGATTATAACGTATATTAGGTAGTAGTTTTATAAGTGACACTTATGTCACAGGTTTCTTTAGGCACAAGAGCCGCATGTGTTTAATAAATGAGTTCCCGCAGATTTTTTTTGCAAATCAGCACTAACACATTCACTCAGTAAGGTGTGGAGTAACCTTTAGCACTGACAATATAGCCTATAAAATGACATAAATAAATGAAAAAGTTTAACACTGGTTATTTTTATTATCGAGCTACACCTGGAAAAATATGTTTTAAGCTTTAAGCTGAAGTATTAAAATCCGAAATTGATAAAAAAAAGGTGAATTATTTATGACAGCAGTATTCATACGAACCCGTGCGACATCGAAACACCCAAAATTTGGCTTTCGTTTCTGGTCTGGGCGTAGAATAATAGAGATGTGTTTCGGTCAAATTAAATTAAAATTCATCGTGGTTATTCCGCTTCCAGACTGACGTATCCGGTTAAAACAACGACTACCCAACCCATCCCATCTGTTTTAAACAATCAAAACTCTTTGGGAAGGCTTACCGGGTCGAAAGTCGGAAAAAAGCCGCACCGGCCCCGGTTGTTTTGAAACGTTTAAGTGGTTTCTAATTGAGCTCCTACTGAATCGGGTGATGTGGTTGATGGTGCGTAAAAACGATGTGACCTCTCAAATTGCGCGAATTTTAAGGGAAACTATAGGTAACTAAATTTTTTCTACCATTGCTTTAAAAAGTATCCAAAAACGCAGGCTACACAAAATATGAAGATAATAATTTTTATATAGGAGTGTGAAAAATTTTCACAGGATGTTTGAAAAAATTTCGCACAATGTTGTTAAAGTACAAATATTCCAAACCACATTTTTCATAAGTTGTTGCATAATATGCTACGTCATTTAAATTTTGAATTCTACCAAAATTTTAGTGTTTATATAAATTTTGAATTCGTTAACGTAAAAGGTTGAACTCAATTCCTACTAAGTTCGTTCTATCAATGTGCACGATAGTCACCATTTGATCCACGTCACTGGATTTATTATTAATTACTCAGTAAAGTTCGTATCCACCTTGTGCAGTAACTTGGTCAACAATTGAAAGTAACATCACTTACGGATGTTTTAAAACGTATTAATAGAACTCCACAATAAAAAAATGTTGTACAGCCAATGTTCGGGAAACTTTAATTTGCAAAATTTTAACACCTGCGGGTTTTTATTTCGAAAACGTGGTTTTCAGCAATCTTCTGAATTGTTTTTTCTCAATGATAAATCCAACAAAATGGAACAATAACATCTATATACATGGTGGCTCATTATTACGGGAATTGGTTATGAGAATTTATTTTGTTAAAAAAATTAAACTCAAATGTTATTTGTATGAAAATAAGTATACCTGATTCCAAGAGTTTCTTAGATATCTCGATTATCTTGAAAAGTTTTCTCGAAATTGCTATTGAGAATGAATTTATCGCTATAAATTAGATCATTTACTCTGTATGATCTGATGAAGAATTCTACATCGACTGGCTATGCCTTAATTGTATATCTATTTTCAACCATTTTCTTGTTATTACATATTTCCATATTTCCTATGCCAATACTTTATCAAGTTAGCATTGATTGTTGCGAAGTTTAACCTGCCTCAAATGAGGGACTTTGGCCACTGACCATCCAGATTACCTGTTTCGAAGCCCTTGGATTTAATTTTATGTTATCTATTATAAGTATAACAGGAACTACAGTGTAATAGGGTGTTCGTAATTACAGGAAAAACCTATTTCTAAACTAGAGAGAGTAACATTGACTTACAATGGACTTGTTTTTTGTGAACTATTTTATAACATTTTTGTTTATGAAACAAATTGAACGCATAACTTGAAGGTTGTTTTATCCCTCATTGCTTTACTCCTTGCTCCCAGATTAAAGTAATCCAGAAAAATATCAGAATACTATCGGAAATTCGGTAATTTGAGAACAAAAATAGCTTTGACAATAATAAGACGTATCTCCGTTTTGTTTGATTATAGTGCAATCTCCATCATATACGGTTGGTCTCTAATAAGCGTAAAATTGCACATTTTGTCGATACGTTGTTTATCATTCAAATGACTAATTGCAAGTTCCAATTGAGTTTGTTGATACGAGTGCGCATACGACAGGATTGCCGGCCGTACGGGGTTTTCTCTTTGATTATAAATTTCACACTTGCCCATTTTTTATTCGTATTAAATCGTTTCGGCTGCGAGCGTGTTGCCGTTTACCTTAGAGGAGAAATGGTGTTTGTTTTTCGTACTTAATCTGTCCAATTATAAGTGCAAATTGACTTGCTCGGTTTTTTTTCTATCCTCGCTGCCAGATGTGTCTACATAGAGCAAGTTCGTTGACTCCGCTAACGATTTTATTTCGCTATGTCGGATTATTGTTGCAGGCCATTTTTGTAGCGGATGAATCGGTGATAGATCGATACCTCAGGAAAGACCAAGCGCCGGCCAGTTGTGGAGGATCTTGCACCCACGACCAGTTGGAATGGGTGGAATTTTTTAAGCAGCTGGAACCGTTTCTGGCCTCTTGCCAGACGGCGGGAAAGTCCCTACTAGCGACTCTTTCCCATTTGAGAAACGAAGAGATACCCCATCAGATTACCAGAAGGTTTTTGAATCACCAATGCAGGTACGTACGGTTACGTCGATGCATTTGATTCATAATCCGTTTAGCATGATAAGCCGGAAAAAGCTTGTTATCAACTAATTTCATTGTTTCCCGACAACAAAGAATGTTATTTACATCAGGTTTCTTAATAATATTTTAAGCGATTGGTGAAAATAAGTTGTTAATCAGGAATGAGAATTTTATTCCACCAGTAAATTAAATGATGGATGAAATCTGGTACGTAATTTCATATTTCATTATTTGCGTAAAAATTATAGAACATTTTAGGATTCAACAAGGACGTGGCTATATAAATTAATTGTTTCTTACCTGCTTGAACTCTTATTGCAATGCGAATTCCATATTTAAATTGTATTCGTTTGAAGCCGATTATTTTTTTTTAAATCTTATTCATTTTTATATATATTAAGGTATATCGGATCATTACTTACGAGTTTCATTCTGACACCATAACCCAGACAATCAAATCTTTTGAAATATGTTAATTATATAGCGTATCCAGCAATTATGAGTTCAAAACCTTTAGGTGGCAATTCCGAATGATGAAGATATATCAAACTTAAGAAATCACAATGATGGACAAGAAAAGTGATACTAAAAAACAAATAAATAAAAAATGTTAAACGATCTATATTTTATGAAAAACAATCGTTCTGGAATGTCTGCAAGATTAAACTTGTTGACAGATGTTTTTATTTTGACAACTGATTTCATATAATTTGGGTAGGCTGATTTGAAAAATTCTATGCATTTATTTGTATCACGTAAGGTTTTTTGCAAATATTAAAGAAAAAAAAAAACGGTATTTCTAAAATAAATTATTTTTTTTAGTTTAAAAAAGTGCCTTTTGGGAAACTTTAATCAGACTTTTCTGAGTTTTGAGTTTCTTATTTTTTCTGTTCAATCCTTCAACATTACACTAACAAAATAACAATCATCAATATACAAATATACAAACAAGCAAACTGCTTTCAAACACCAAAATCACTGTAGATGTGTGTTATTATTAGATTGTTTTTTGATACTGGACTATTTACTCTGAATGTTTAGTTCCCATGGAGAAGACGTTTTGGAGCAAATAGTCTAAGCTCGGTAAATCATTCTTTCTTTCGACACTGCTTCACAATTCGTTGCAAAGAAGTAAATTCTCTATATTGAGATTGGCCCTTAACGTGTTTAGGCAAATTTCAAAAGCTTTGGATTCTGAAACCGTCCAGAAGTTGCGAAGAGAGGGAAAGAAGACTTTGACTAGTTTAGCGGAACGTAGCCAATGGCTATCGGGAAGCCAGGACGTAAAAAGGAGCACGACGTACGCCTATGATTCGTTCAACGCGGTGGAGAGAGTCACGCAGCGATTGGAGCAACTCAAATTGGAGAGAATGGAGAGACTGAAAGAGTTGGCTAGGTTCAGAACACTACAGGAGGAAGCGGACGAGGTTAGTAGAACCATTATCCTAATTTCTATACAAATAGTTCAGATATTATAATATATGTACGGTCAATATCAATTCCTCCATAACGCAAATGTCGATTCCCTGAGGTTGTGGGGCATGTTGCCTCAGATTCCGCAACGTACATTGTGACATATACAGCAATGTCTCAAAAAAAAAAGAACGCAGTCTATAAATTATGCTCATTATCTAGATCAAAATATTGGCATTCCGTTATAAGAGCCGAGTGGGTCGCCTTTTAATCTCCGCGTGGAAAAAATTGTGACGAAATTGATATGTTCCGACAAATAGTCTACATATTTCTCGGAAAATGTAAATAAATTAGTCTGAAAGATAGATTGCGGAACGTTAGCGTGGAATATTAATAACTTATTATGTCTTGACACAGTAAATATTACCTTAACTTATACGATCCGTCGAGATGTGACAGTGTTGTCAGTTCTGTTTGATTAAAATCTCGAACAAATGTGCTACGAACACTACATACAAAAAAATTAGTTATTTTCAATAAGTATCAGTCAATAATTGTTGCTTACTCAATAATCTTTTCACGTAGATTTTATATAAAAAAAAAACGATTGCAAGTTTAATAGAATAGATTTCAAATATTAAGTTTCTAGGTCAAATCCTGAAGGTTACTCATTGCTCAGTCAAGTCCCCTCCGCACCCTAAAAAAAAATCCACAGATTTCTGATGAAGAATAACGATCGTAGTCAAATCCAACATAAAATATATTAAAGAAGGTTAATTTTTGCATAGTACCTCCTTACAGTCAGTTTCTATGAATTTTATTGGACCCCACTTGCCATTCCCATTCAGTTAATTGTTAACAAACATGGAAAACTACATTACTTTATGTGCGAAATCTACATATGGCTCGAATTAATTTTATATCGCTGTTGCACGGGACGACTTGGCGGATGAGTTACCTGTTTTTCTCTTAATTATAAAAACTCGTAAAAAGCTCAATTCAACCTCCATAAATTATTAGGTAAGGAAAGATCGATCGCTTATATTTTCCTTTAAAGTACGTAGATATATACTCCCGCGTTATAAACTAGCAATATCTGTCTCTATTGGGCATCAATATAAGCGATTTTAAATTTATGTATCTGAAGCATTTAAAAGTATAAAATGCTGTTATGTTGTCGAGATGACAATTTCTTATTAAGTGTCGTGTAAAAAGCGAGTGTGTTTTAGCGATAACTCTAATGATTCAAAATTGTCACATATCCAAGATAACAATATTAGCTATGCCGACGTTGCAAATTACAACTTGAAAAGCGATGTTAACTTAATAAGGTGTGACTTACCAAAAGAACCAGAAAGTCAAGATTTAAACAGTATTATCTATTTGCTTTTGTATTATTTCAAAAAGCTGACTTTTATTTATGTTTAAGTTTAATCCGACATTACCTGAAATCCTAAAGAAAAATCCAATATGTGTTAAATACTCACACAAAACAAGCGTTCCAATGCTGAAAAATGATATATAAATACTCAGCAAAATTCTCGGAATACAGTTTATCAGTGACTGCTACGCTAGCCCCAGCCTTGGCTGCAAGAGAAACTAATCTTATAGGCGATTAATTTGAAACTAGAATATGCATTAGAACCTGATAAGATCTACTTGGCTGTGGATTTTTTGAAAAAGCTGAGTTTTATTCAATGTAGAATATGCTGTATTAAATATTCTTATCAATGAAGTACTTATATTTGAAAATACATTTATTAAATTAAATGAACCAACAGTCTAATGCTGACACCTCATACATGAATACTCGGAAAACCTTTTATCGGTAACTAATCTCCTAGGCGGTCAATTTGAAGCTAGTAAATTAAAAAAAAAAATTAAAAAAAAATTATTCGCCATTACCTGAAATTCTAAAGAAAGATCCAATCCACATCCACATAAAAGAAAGTAAAGGACATAAATTCATTAAATATTTTATGTGGTCAGTGTGTTACTTCAGCGCCGCCCTTGACCACAGAAGAAACTAATTTGTTGTGTACATTACAACTTGATAGTATTATCTATTTGGATTATTTGGAAAACCTGAGTTTTATTCAATGCAAAGTATGTTATTTAAAGTAAATTAAAATTATTCGACTTTCTCTGAAATCCTAATCCATTATATATTAAATAAATTATTTAAATTAAACAACCAAGCATTTTAGTGTCGATAGATCATACATGAATACTCAGCAAAGTTCTCGGAAAACAGCTTATCGAGGATTCATTTGAAAAATAAAGCCAGCAATTAATTTTTACTACAATACCAGACATACCACAGATAATTAGCCGGCTGTCTCGGAAAAATTGCATTTGCATTACTCTCGTGCGAGCGTGCTATATCGTTCAGTTTTTCGTTAGTGCAGTCGTACCCTACTGTTGCACATTTCGACGATTTGTTTTCGCTAACTTAAATTTTTAAATTGAAAGCTGTAAATTATATGTGTTGTGCAATGGTTTAGTCCTTTTTGATCAGATGACTTCGTCATGGAATAGCAAGGCACTATGCAAATAAACGTAAGCGGAATATATCCTTAAGGTAAACGTGATGAAGTGTAGGTTGTTAGTTATTCAAAAAGATGCACCAAATAAACCTAAAATGATTTTGAAATTGTGACCTTCGTGTTGGTCGTAAGTGAAGTGTTAGAATAGAGAAAAGCAAATTTTTCAAACCGGGTTGTACAAGTTCTAGTATATTTCTTCTGGACGAAAAATTCACATGAAGAGTAGCTACACTAGTAGCTACGAGGGCAGCGCCTGAATATGAAAGAAACAAAGTAGAGTAACAATTTTTAAGTATTTTTCAATATAATCCCCCTTAACTTCAATACACTTACTACATCTCTTTATTAACAACTCAATCCTTTTAAAAAAATATTCTTTTGCTTTGTCTGCAAAGTGAGCTAAAACAGCCTCTTTCAACTTAACTTCATCGTTAAACCGCCGTCCACGTAAGTCTTTTTTCGAATATCCAAACAAATAATAGTTACTGGGGGCCATGTCTGGACTATAGGGAGGATGATCTATCTGTTGGAACCCACACTCTAAAATGGCAGCTTGTGCAACACCAGCAGTATGGATAGGTGCATAATCGTGCAAAAGACGCACGCCTCTGGTCAGTTTTCCTCGACGCACTCTCGCAATTTATGTAATAATGTTGCGTAATATTTACCATTCACAGTGGTATTAGTTTCTTTAAAATCTATCAAAAGAATTCTTTCACAATCCCAAAAGATCGTGGCCATCACCTTTTTTGTTGACGGCAAACTCTGAATTTTCATGGAGGGGCTTCACCCTTACGACGCCACTCCATTGATTCATTTTTTGATAGAGGGTCATAATAGAGAACATTAGTTTCATCTTCCGTCACAATAGTTTCTATCACAGGCTTCGGTTCCGACCCACAGAGTTCCAAAAAAGACCGCGCGCACTCGACATGGCGTTGTTTTTGAATAGCCGAAAGGTTTTTAGGAACCCATTTTGCCCTAACCTTATGCATACCTAAATGATCATGCAGGATTCGACGAACACGTACCAGAAAGCTTAGTAATTTCTGAGATTTCCTTGACCTTTAAACGTCGATCATTCAATACCACTTCTTCCAATCGCAACAATATCTTCCGTTATGACCTCCACTGGTCGACCAGTTCTTGAATCATCTTCAAGGGACTCCCGCCCCATTCGAAAATGTTTTGGTTAGTCTTTCACTACAGAATACGAAGGAGAACTTTGGCCCTACACACCATCCAGCCTTTTTTAATAATTTTAGGTGCTAACCCCTCTTTTGTCAAAAATTTTATGATTGCTCTTTACTCAATTTGCGTTATTTGCGACATTTTTGTCGGACTTGTTTAAAATGTTGTCAATAAAAAACTATTTGACGCAAGACTTCAATTTTTTTTTCGCAGCCCACTAAGATATATATTTAAAAGAAGACAAGGTTTTATCGTGATATTGGAGCTTCATCTATGCCAAGCCGCGAAATTTTGGCGCTAACCTCATATTACTAAACTAGATTGAGCAAAATTGACTTACACAAAAACCACATTGCGATATCTTTACTACCATTATCATTTTCAAAATGGTCAAAGATTGAAAACCTCTATATTTTGATCGATAGTGAAGACATACATTACTAATGAAGGTCAGGCTGTTTTTTGCTTATCAAAAATCTAGGAGCTGTTTTGTAGAATTTTTTGTAGAAGTCATCAGTCTCAGAATATATATACGCGATCAGATAAGTTATGGGAGCGCTTTTTTTAAAGATAGTTTTTGAGATCAGATTGAGACTTTTCTATTTATATAATTTTCTATTTTTGGAAATTTCCTGTGCTTCTCTGAATCTTTTTACTAATCTGTAATCAATCTGTAGCAGAATTATGCACATGTTTGACTTTGCACTTTAAATTTAATTTAATATTATTGGTGTTTTTCCTCGGTATTTATTTTTCTGTTTTTTGCAGACTTTACACTTCTTAACACAACAAAACAAGAAAGTTTCGCATTTTTTTCCTTTTAGCAACATTTCTGTTGTTTGATTTGTAGCAGAATTATTTAGGCAGTCAATTTATTCTTCGCTTCGAATTGCTTTAGAATAATATTGCAGTGAAATATATCAAGTTGGTGTTAATTTTTATATCAAATGTTATTACCATATATTTTGCAAAGTAACCTCTAATAGATTGTCCCAATGAAAACATTAAAAAATGAAAAAAATAGATACATAACGTTACGACTTTTGAGAGTTGGTCATTCCAAAATTACTATCTGCATTTGACAATCTTCATTTAGCCGTCAGAAACTATCGGCTTAAAAATCAATTATAGAAACTGATGATTATCTGATAATAATAAATATAAATAAAAATTTCTATCAATTTAATTTTATTACTATAGAAAAACGCAGGATCTTTCTTGACGAATCTAGAATAAACAAACCAACAAAAACGAAACCGTTAGGTACAGGTTTTGCA